TATTTTATTTTTTTTTTTACCATCATACAAAAAAGGATTTTATTTTGGGAAATTGATTTCTAATTTATGGCAAGTTTTACTTTCAGAAATAAAACCACAGAACAACACAATCTAATTCAATCTTAAAGGCTGGCATGCTGAGCAAGGAATGTTCTTATTCTTTGTAGGAGCTCCTTCTTTACACTGTCAGGTACCAGGGCTCTGCCTTTTGGAGTGATTTCAGCCACCAAGTCATCAACAGTAACGTGTTCTAGTCCTTTTTCTTTAATTACCTCTTTACAGTGTGCCTTCAATTGATCTTTCCAGCCACATTCAATTAATTTAGCTCTCAGCAACTCTTTGAGGCGTTCTCTTTCTCCAGTTTCTATCAACTTTTGGTTAATCGCTGCTCTCAGAACTCATTTTTAAAGCAATATTTTTATTTTCTTATTTTAAACATATATGTAAAATCCATGGTCATATTATCTTAGGGTGTAAAATAATCATGCATTAATTTATGTTACAGTCAGGCAGTTTATTTTTATTTATTTATTTATATTAATTTATTTTTTTTGAGACAGAGTCTGACTCTGTTGCCCGAGCTAGAGTGCTGTGGTGTCAGCCTAGTTCACAGTAACCTCGAACTCCTGGGCTCAGACGATCCTCCTGCCTCAGCCTCCCGAGTAGCTGGAACTACAGACATGCACCACCATGCCCGGCTAATTTTTTCTATACGTTTTTAAGTTTTCCAGCTAATGTTTTTCTATTTTTTTTAGTATAGACGGAGTCTCACTCTTGCTCAGGCTGGTCTCAAACTCCTGAGCTCGAACAATCTGCCCGCCTTGGCCTCCCAGAGTGCTAAGATTATAGGCGTGAGCCACCGCGCCCGGCCCAGTCAGGCAGTTTAAAACAGTTTTCTTTGCTCTGGTAAATTATGAATCACTCACTGAATTACCTATTCGATACAATGTATACTATTTGGGTGACTGGTACACTAAAAGCCCAGATTTCACCACTATACAATTCATCCATGTAACAAAGAAACATTTGTACTCCCTAAATCTACTGAAACTTTTTTAAAAGCCAAGAAGAAAAAAATATATACATCACTGAAATAAAACACATGAGGTTCAAGACCAGTTTATATGGCCACAGGCTTTCTTGTAAAGGTTCTGTTGCCTTGTCCATAGGCTGAGTTGCTATCCCTATGCTCTGGGGTGGGGTATTGGTCTGAGAAGATCCTTGAGGTACATAGCTTCGAACCAGGTATCAGTTGTGTTGGTCCAGGAGCTCTGTTTGTCTGGCTCAGACTGACACTGAACGTTTATTCCAAATCAGTTTTTATTTTTTAAATAGCTACTGCAGTAATCTTTAAACATCTAGCTGGAACTGCTCAATAACTGGCCAGAGGCATTGATTGACTGATTCAGTCAACATTTGCTGAGGGCCTTTTAGGCTATGAGGACACAAAAGTGAGTACAACTCAGTTCCTGCTCTTAAGGAGCTTATAAATAAATGGGGAGACAGAAATATTAATATATGTGGGTCTTCTAAGACATTTACTGGAAGTATGTTTTTTATTTCAAGTAAATGTCTCAGAAGAAACCAGGATTGCAAATAAAAGTCTTTAGAGAACTTTATTCTCTAAAGAAGGTGGCAGGCTTGCTGGTGGCAACTGGACTGATCAGCTTAAGGGCAAAGAAGAAATGAGGATGGTTGAAAGAATGTGCAGAGCAGCAATTGAGAAGCAGCAATTGAGACATTAAGGAGTGGAATAGGCTGTGTTTAGAGGAGAGAACTGAGTGTGGACTTCTAAATGGTGTGGATTCAGACTGTGAGAACAACATCGACTACCTGAAGGGGAGAGGTGATCTTAAAGCAAGAGCGTCAAAGTTAAGACAAACTTTTAGGTCAGATAGAAGGAGATGGGAGCCCCAGCTTCTTATCAGTATATGGCTTTGGGCAAATTACTTAACCTCTCCAAACCTCAATATACTCTTTTTTTTTTACTTTCAGAATGGCAAAGTACCAATATACTCTTTTTTTTTTTTGAGACAGAGTCTCACTTTGTTGCCCAGGCTAGGTGAGTGCCATGGCATCAGCCTAGCTCACAGCAACCTCAAACTCCTGGGCTCAGGCGATCTTCCTGTCTCAGTCTCCCAAGTAGCTGGGACTACAGGCATGTGCCACAATGCCCGGCTAATTTTTTGTATATATATTTTTAGTTGTCCAATTAATTTCTGTCTATTTTTAGTAGAGACAGGGTCTTGCTCAGGCTGGTTTTGAACTCCTGACCTCGAGCAATCCACCCGCCTCGGCCTCCCAGAGTGCTAGGATTACAGGCGTGAGCCACTGCGCCCGGCCTGATATACTCTTAATGAAAGCACTTGGCACCTAGTAAGTCCTCAAAACGTGTTAGCTGTTACTATTATTGTTGCAGGGGAAACCTTGCTTCTCTAGTGACCATAAGGGCAAATGAGAATGCCAAGGCTTGGATTGGAGGTAGAAGCAAAGGGAATCAGCAGGAAAGGAGGAGGATTCGGTTGCCTTTTTCTGGTCTTTAGGGCTCTTTCCAATAGAGCTGAAGGAAGTGCCAGCTCCAAGAGCCCAGGGGCGTGCCCAGTCAGATATGCCTGTGCGTGCATCTGCTGTGGTCAGACTATGAACTGCCCTGTATGAATACACTGTCATTTGTGAATAATAGAGATATGAATGTTATCTGGAAAGATAAACATCAACCTTAACATTGGCAAGCTACAGGGATGGAGGCAGAATTGTGTGTGTGTGTATATTTGAAAACTTGTATTTTATTACTGTGTACCTCTTTTTTTTTTTTACTTGTCACTGACTTGAAGGCCATGAACCTCTATATTGTTTGATTTTTTTTTTCATAAAGAGAATGAATCCATATGTTGGGTAAAAAAATTAAAATAAAATCAATCTGGAGCAGGGCATGGTGGCTCATGCCTGTAAATCCTAGCACTCTGGGATCCAGCTGAGGCGGCTGGATCGTTCGGGCTCAGGAGTTCGAGACCAGCCTGAGCAAGAGTGAGACCTCTGTCTCTACTAAAAAAATAGAAAGAAATTAGCTGGACAACTAAAAGTATATATATAAAAACCATTAGCCGGGCATGGTGGTGCATGCTTGTAGTCCCAGCAACTCAGGAGGCTGAGGCAGAAGGATTGCTTGAGCCCAGGAGTTTGAGGTTGCTGTGAGCTAGGCTGACGCCATGGCACTCTAGCCTGGGCAACAAAGTGAAACTCTGTCTCAATATATATATATATATCAATCTGATTACAAAAGAAGAGGAGGAGGAGGAGGAGGAGAAGGAGGGAGGAGGAAGAAGAAGAGGAGGCAATAAAATACCTGCAAAAACTGCTTGTGATCCAATTCCTGGTTCCCTGATGCCTGGCTGAAGTCCTAGCCCACAAAGAGGCCACTGGATTAAAGGTCTTAGGGAAAAGAGAATGGGAAAGGTTTAGTGTCTGTGTGGTGTCTGTTAGTCTCACAATAGTAAGACACCTGGTAGATAGTTCCCTGTGTCATGGAAGCTACTCCTCTTTTCCAGGCACACTAGCCAGAGCTGGAAAAGTTCAACAAGTGCATGGAACATCAGAAACCTTCCAGAAATGCCGAATTTGCTCCTAGATGTCCTGAGGCCCAGTGCTCTTCTCCAGGCAGCCTCAAGGCTCAGAAGCCACGGTGCCTTCTCAGTCCAGCCCTGCTTTGCCTTCGGCAGCCCTCTCTCTTCCTGAGTTGTGGCCCTTCCCAGGCCTTGCGTCCCAGCCCCGCCCCTCTCTCTGGACGCATCTCTGGGCCCCATCATCACCCGGCGCCGGGCCCTCCCCCTGCCCCCCCTTCTCCTCCCTCCTTCCTTCCCTCCCTTCCTCCCTCTCTCCCTCCCTCCCAGCTCCTGCACCAGGAAACGGCCCGGATCCCGGCAGCGGCCTGACCCGTGAGATCCCTAACCTGGCAGGCGGGCGGGGTTGGGGACAGGCTGAGGTTGGGGGTAAGGGAGGAGCTGGGCCTTTGGGCTGCACTGGGGGGAGCTGGGAGTAGAGATGGTGTGGCAGGAAGCCCTTGGCCCTGGGTTTCCCGGGAGGACAGTCATTAAACATGGATTCGGCCACACAGCTGGTAGAGCGTTGGGGGCAGGGACCCAGGCCCAGGAGCTGCAACCCCAGCCCTTCTTAGGGCAGACCCTGATCCCTTGGCCTCCCGGCTAGTTCTGATCTCCTCCTCCCCTTCCCAGGGCTCCAGGCTGGCCGGGAGGATGAAAGGCCCCAGCTGGGGGCTCCTTGCCACCAGTGCTGGGTCCTAAGAGCTGCCATCCAGGCTGGGTGAGTGACCCCTTCCTTTCTCTGTCCCAGGCAACCCTTTGCTTCTCCCACCTTCCTCCTCAGTCCCTGTCACCTCCCCATCTTATGCCTCTGCCAACATCTTCACATTTTGCTTCTAGGGAGGTCCTAAGCCCCTTCCTCTAGCCAAGAAGGTGTGGACTGTGGTCGGATGGGATGCGTAGGAGTGTTGTAGAGCTGGTGTTGTCTTATTATAAAAAGAACCTAAAGTATTTTAAACATAAAATCTACTTGCTTTACATTTGATTTGGCATATTACAAATTTAATGTCCAGCCCCTCATGTGCTGGCCGCACACCATGACTTAATTCCCTTGTTCTTGCTCTTTCCTTCCCAGTGGTCTCAGAGCATTTCCTCCCCTCTCCCTGTCTCACCAGGTTAGACAAACCGGAAATGCCCCTTCCTGTGTCTCTGTCCATATACTATTCATGCATTTATGCCAGTCTTTCATCCTTGCCTCTTACAGCCGCCCGGATGGCGACCCCAGCCTCAGCCCCAGACACACGGGCTCTGGTGGCAGACTTTGTAGGCTATAAGCTGAGGCAGAAAGGTTATGTCTGTGGAGCTGGCCCAGGGGAGGGCCCAGCAGCTGACCCGCTGCACCAAGCCATGCGGGCAGCTGGAGATGAGTTCGAGACCCGCTTCCGGCGTACCTTCTCTGATCTGGCAGCTCAGCTGCATGTGACCCCAGGCTCAGCCCAGCAGCGCTTCACCCAGGTCTCCGATGAACTTTTCCAAGGGGGCCCCAACTGGGGCCGCCTTGTGGCCTTCTTCGTCTTTGGGGCTGCACTGTGTGCTGAGAGTGTCAACAAGGAGATGGAGCCACTGGTGGGACAAGTGCAGGAGTGGATGGTGGCCTACCTGGAGACACGGCTGGCCGACTGGATCCACAGCAGTGGGGGCTGGGTAAGAAGCTTCTCAATTGCTGCTCTGCACATCCCTCCGCAAAGCTGTCTCCAGGGGGAAGGTGCGGGCTGTGATTGGAGGCTGGGGCAGCGGTGCTGGGAATGAGGCATGGGGGCTGAGTCTCCCTGTTTGGGTGGAATCAGACTGAGAGATGCTTCACTGTAGGCATCACGCTGGACTCTGCACTCCAGGGCTGCCATGCAGTGATCACTGGATGGGCTCATGGTCCCAAGCAGAGGACAGATACACAGTCCCGGAGGAGTGCCTGCAGGGAAATGGTGTCAGGAACTTTGTACACCTGAGTACATGGCATGGGAGGTGGGGAGGATCAGGAATGGGTGATGATCAGGAAAGCCTTGGCAAAGGATGCCAGTTCTGAGCAGAATTTTTTAGCAAGGAAAGGATGGGGTTCACTTGAGGCAGAGAGGGCAAATGAGCCCAGCGCTTGGGGCGAGGGGTGGGGGTGCACTCCTGGGGATCAGAGGGGCTTGCAGCCAGCAGAGCTGTGGCTGGAGAGGAGCTGGGTATGGGGTAGTACTTGCAGTGGATGGAACTGGAACTCTTCCTCTCCTCTTCTCTCCACTCTTTCCTCTCCTGATATCCCTTTCTCCTTTCTCTCCTACTTCCCTTCTCTCCCACAGGCGGAGTTCACAGCTCTATACGGGGACGGGGCCCTGGAGGAGGCGCGGCGTCTGCGGGAGGGGAACTGGGCATCAGTGAGGACAGTGCTGACGGGGGCCGTGGCACTGGGGGCCCTGGTAACTGTAGGGGCCTTTTTCGCTAGCAAGTGAGAAAGTCCCAGGGCCAGGTGGGGCTAGGTATGGCTGGGGGCCAGGAGAGCAGGAACAGAACAGAGAAATGCCCTTGGAAGAAGTGGAGTGAATGGATGGGCGGGCATGGAGCAGGGATGGGCAGGGGAAAGGTAGTGTGTGAGGGAGCTGAGTATGCCAGGCAGGCAATTGGAAGAGTGAGCTGGAGACATTGGGGAATGTTTTGGGAAGGTCAAGGGAGCAGGAGATGGAGTCATTCCAGGGTTGGGGGGAGGAGGGAGGGATCATGCCTATAGGTGTGGGCACGTGAAACTACCTGGAGCCTGGTTTGCAGCCCTGAGGAAAGTGGACTTTCATGAGGGTTGCGTCTCCATTGGATGACTGGGATTTGGGGAACGCAGAAGGCACATCCCTTTGGAATGGAAACTCAAGGTTCTCAGGTGATAGGAAGAGGTGGCTGTGACAGTGGGCTGCTTGGACACACGTGTGCATGTGCACGCGTGCTCGTGTGCATGCTGGGCTGCTTGTCTAATCTAATCTGGTGGTGGTGGGATTCCTCAAGGAGAAAACATTCCTCTTGTCATGGCAAGAACAAGGGGCAGTTCTCTGTCCCTCCTCCTAACCTTCTCCCCACCTCCACATTTCCCCTCCCCTTGCCCTGATGCCAGAAAGTCCTTAGCAGGACTTTGGAGACAAGAACGGTTCTGCAGTTGGCCTCGTTCCTTCATCATCCCCCTTCCTTGTGCATCTCACACTTGCTGCTGCCTCCTGGGCTCTGACAGAAGGACAGGGCTGTGGAGACTTGGTGGGTGGAGGCTTAGGTAGCTGGACTTGCCTGCCACCCTCCCCTCCCACTGGGGCACAGTGGTGCCTGAAGTGTACCCTATCTCTGGGACCTCTGTATCCAAACTGAAACTCTAAATTGGGGCCCTAATTTTTCTTTTGAGAGGGTGGATGTAAATGCCAATCTAGAATACACTCTGGGTCCTGCACTGTGTCTCAGTGAGACTGTTTCTGCCTTGAGAGGACCATTCCAGCTCTGAACCCCATGGGTGTGAGGGTGATGGGTACTCCATGACTGGCCTATTCTGTGTGGTGGGCTTTGGTGCTGCTTTATCAGGGGCCAGGAGTATGGGTTCTAGAGTACCTACCATGACCGAGAAGCATTTACATTTTCTTTGAAACCACGCTGTTTGCATGAGTGTTACTTGTCTGTACCTCAGAGTCTGAGGATAACTTTAGAACTCACAGTCCTCTAGAACAGATTCGGATTATAGCTTTTTCTTTTGAGGAAGAAATGATTCACTCCAGTTGCATGCCCTGAGCCAGACCTCACTGCTGCACTTTCCAAGGTGCTAAAATTGCTGCTCTCCAATGCTGACTTTCAGAAACAGTGCTCTAGAACCCTGACCATGATCCTGAGCACTGATCAGCTTAGCTAGACCATGGTTGACTCTTCTTGGAGATTTTCACTTGGTCCCAGAATGTGGCAACATAGTTGTGCTTGATAGAATGTGGGACCAAATTGGCCTCAGGGGTTTAGTCCAGACTTTTGCTTTTGAGAGAGGACTGCACTTTCTAGTGGTATTTATAGGGGAGGTGGTTGACTGCATGTGCTACTTGGTCTGTTGTGAGTATGCTGATACCAGAAACTCAGAGCTGGTCTGTGGCAAGCAGTGGGGTGGGGGGTCTCTGACTTTGCTCAGGACAAACTAGGCCAGTGGTTTTCAAACTGCTTGGCAGAGCCCCGAAGTTTCCTAGGAGTTGCCTCAGGAGTCCTTGGGGAGATGAAGGGGGTAGGGGGGCTGAGCAGGCTGGGCAACTTGCCCTCAAACAGAACAGCTCCCCTTGTAGCTGTCTTACATATCGGGGTTCAGGGTAAGATTTTATTTGCATTAAGGGATTTGTTGCTAAAAAAAAAAAAAGTTGGAAAACCACTGACTAGATCATTAGCTCCAAATTGGAGCCTGTGCTCCCTCAGGTTTGGGGCAGACTCTTCACCCTACCCTCTACCACAGGACGCCATCCCAGTTAGCATTCCTGCAGGCCTTTAGCAAACAGGGGCAGCAGGGACCATGGCCAGATTACCAAAATGTTCTGCTTTGAGGCCCTCACACCTGGGTAGAAGGAGAGGCTATTTTCTGAAAAGGTAAAGGGCTTGGTCTGGATTCCCAGAAGTATAGCTTGGATGGGACCACAGGGGGTAGTTTTGACCTGTCCTGCCCTTCTTAGTTGGAGGGGCAATGGAAACCCCAGAGACCCTTCTGTCAGGGAAAACTAGGGACTCTCTTCTAGAGCCATATAGTTGCTTGGGATTAGCTCTTGGCCAAGACGGCTGAGTATGGCTCCCAATTTTTAAATCCATTTCCTTTTTTAAAAAAATAAGGGAAATAAATATAATTGTCATTTTTCAAAGATAAAATAGGTGGAGAGGGTGTTTCTTGCTCTCCAGAGCCCAAAGGGACAAATAGGGACTTTGCTTAGGCCAAGGAAGGAGCGGAAATAGGGCAACTCGGTCCTAAGATTATTAATCCTCCTCTCCCACTCCCCACTTATTCTAGGGCATACATACACTATTTTACTTTTTTAAATCATAAAACAACAGAACAGATTTGGTTAGTTTAGAAGAAAAGAAGAAGCTCTATAAATATAAATATATATTCCTGTATTTTTATTTAATAATTTATAAATACCAAGTTCATTTGACTTTTATTTTTGTGTAATATGTAATTGTCGTATTAAAAAAATAAATAAAGCCCAGAGTTTAATGAGAAGGACTGAACAGGGTTTGTGACTTCTACACTGTATAGCCTGGGGTCAGGACATTCCTTGATCTAATCATCTCTTCATGATCTTGTTAAGGGCAAGAATTAGATTAACAGGGATTTGGGAAAGTGCTGGGATAATTAAAAAAATATATCGGAGTTATCCCCCCATCCTCTTTGCCCTACTCCCACCCTGGCCAAATGCCCAAGCCAAGAACTCCATCTATCCCAACCCAAGCCTCAAGAGGGTGTGTATATATGGCACATGATATTTAAGACTGCCACAAACAAGAAACAAAACCAAAAAAAGAAAACCTACCAAAAATCTATGTGTGATAGTAATCAAGTTCCCAGTTGTGGTTCAACTTCCAATCAGAAGTGTGTGGTAATGAGCATTTCCCCGTGATGCCCTGCTACCTACTTCAGACTTAAAATAGGTCTGGCAAAAATGGAGCCCCTGCTTCCTTTCTGGGTCCCGAGACATTTGGTTTCAGCCATTTAAATGCAAACTGCTAAATTGGATGGAATCTCCAGGAATATTCAGCCCCTCATTTGTACCTCTAGTCCAGGACCACACCAAAATCATATCTGACAGGAATAGTGATCCTAATTTTAAATTTCAAGTGGGAATTCCTAGTCTTTCTATAATCCAGTGCAATAAATTGGGTATTTGGGTTTATGTGTTAAATTGTGAGAAATGTAATTGTTTAGAAGAATCCAGTGTTGCCTCTCTATTCTCTCCCTACAGAAAAATCTGTGGGGGAAGCCATATTAAAATCAGAGAGTGGTTTGATGAATTTAGCACTAGGGGAAATGGAATTAGATGTTCTTAATAGTTAATATGATCAGGTATGATAGTTAGTGCATTTATCTCCACTGCAATGCGATTGATTTCATGATTGATTTGCCTAGTTCCAAAAAACATTTGCAACATCTTTCTATAATACAAAAGACAAAACAATAGGAAAATGTAGATTTTTAAAGTATAGCGGTAAAGGGAAAATTGAAATATTACAATAAGATGACAGCAAAAGGAAAATTATTGCACAGAAAAGCATTCTATAAGTAGTGTTCCCAAATACTAAAGCTAGGCTATGAATTCAGCTCTGTGTTTCTTGGCAGCTAAAGCAAAATGAAAAACACAGTGAAATTCACATTTCTCTTAGTCACTTAAGAGGGGCAAAAAAATTTTTGTGTGTGTGACTTTTCTGAGAAGACACTGAGTGATATAGTGGACACTACTCTCTGTGACACCTAATAGCAAATATGATGTTGAGTTTTGTAACACTGTTTCTGCTAAAAACACCGAATGGGGATTCAGAAGGTCCTAAGCTTATTCTATCAGGCCCATCACAATTTAGGCCAAATATGCTGCTCTGGTGATGGTTTAGTTTAATTAGATAACAACTTTAGACTATCTAAAGGGACACATGGGTTATGTTTCCTTCACGCAGTTCCCCATGAATGTTATTTCTTCAAATGACACTTCTGATAAAGTTGGGCAACAATTAGTTATAATTTCTCACAAATGGATGGATTATATATATTCTGTGTTTTTACTTAATAGCAGATCCTTTGAAAACTTTAAAAGCTGCCTTAAATGTGGATGTAGGAAAGATAGAGAAATAAATTATTTTAAAACTCAACCAAGAAACATAACATAATAGAATGCTATGTAGTTGTCTATTCAATCATTCATTCATGCAGGAAATACTCAAGCATCATCTGTGTGCTTGGCACACTTCTAGGCACTGAGGTAAAGTGAACAGACACAAACCCCTGTCCACATGTTGTTTACATTAGTAAAGGAAACAAACAAAAAATAAATACATTTCATAATGTGTTAGAATACTATAGAAGAAAGTAATTCATTGAAGGGGGATATGTGTATACATACACATATATGTACATAGATTTCAACTTTAAGTTGAGTAGTCAGGGAAGGCATGAAAAATTAAATTAGAAAAATATATTTATTGACATGGAAAGATGCTTCTATATATTGAAAATTCAGGAAGGGTATATGCCAAAATATCATTAGTGATTATATCTGGGTGGTAAATTTTATGGGTGATTTTATCTTGTTTTTTTTTTTTTCTGTCAATATTTTCTGATTTTTTGGATAATGAGCACATACTTCAATATATTAAAATAAGTTTTTCAGTTACAAAGTTTTTAAAAAGTTAACCAAAGTAGAATGGAAATTAAGCAGCCCAACAGAGCTCCTTCACATTTAAATGGCCATCCCACTTCTGTGCAAGGGCAGACCTAGGGAGTTAAGGTAAGGTAGACAGGGCCAGACCACATTAAAAGATAATTGCGGGCAGGGTGCCATGGCTCACGCCTGTAATCCTAGCACTCTGGGAGACTGAGGCAGGAGGATCACTCAAGGTCAGGAGTTCCAACCAGCCTGAGCAAGAGCGAGACTCCATCTCTACTAAAAATAGAAATAAATTAATAGGCCAACTAAAAATATGTGGAAAAAATTAGCCAGGCATGGTGGCGCATGCCTATAGTCTCAGCTACTTGGGAGGCTGAGGCAGGAGGATTGCTTGAGCCCAGGAGTTTGAGGTTGCTGTGAGCTAAGATGCAAGACTCTGACTAAAAAAAAAAAAAAAAAAGATAATTGCGGTCTGCTCTAAAATACCCGTGATTAAATGAGAAAGGCTCCAGGGTTCTTTATTGGCACTGTCCAATAGGAATATAACATAAGCCACATACGTAGTTTTACCTTTTCTAGTAACTTCATTAAAAAGACAAAAAGAAAGAGATAAAACTAGTTTTATATTTTATTTAGCCCAGTATATTAAAATTATGATTTCAACACGTTATAATATTAAACAATTATTAATGAGTTATGTCAAATTCTTTTTTATACTAAATCTTCAAATTTGGTGTGTATTATATACTTTCAGCACTCTCAAATGGACTACTCATGTTTCAAGTGTTCAATAGCCACGTGTGACTAGTGCCTATCATATTAAACAGTATAGTTCTAGATCATAGAGAATTATTGTAGCCTGTAAAAATTCACAGCAGGAGTTGGCTAGGTGTGGTAGCTCACACCTGTAATCCTAGCACTCTGGGAGGCCGAAGCGGGAGGATCACTTGAGGTCAGGAGTTTGAGACCAGCTCTGAACAAGAGCAAGACTGTCTCTACAAAAAAGGAAAACAGCCGTGGTGTCTGCCTGCCTGCAGTCCCAGCTTCCTCTGAGGCTGACACAGGATTGCTTGAGCCCAGGAGTTTGAGGTTGCAGTGAGCTAAGATAACACCACTGCCCTCTAGCCAGGGTGACAGATAGATAATGTCTTAAAAAAAAAAAAAGAAGTTAAAAATGAGGATGAAACTACCAAGAAGCCAAATATATATTGTTTAGTGAGAAAACTTTTTCTTCTAGGCAGAACCAGAGATGCCCTCACCCATTTTTACTGCTTACTTCTCCATTTCTCAACTCCACTGACCATTCCCTTCTATTAACATATTTTTCCCTCTTCTGGGGCACAACATCATTGGAGTTTTGGTTTTTCCAAAACTCCATAGTCCTTTTATAAGTTATTGCTTAAAAGAATCAGACCCAAAATGAGTGAATCTCACACCAGTATATACTAATTAAAAAAATTCATTCTTAGAGGAAAATTTATCTCTTTGTTATTCTCTATGCACCAACAGGCAAGATATTAATATTTAAAAAGATCGTTCAGTCAGCACTTATTAAACACAGAGAGATAGTCAAAGGAAATACAAATATAATTAAGATGGTGTCCTTACCTTTTTCAGTTTATAGTCCAATAGAGAAGGATCTTAATTTACAGGTCATCATTCAAATATATATGTATATCTTTTAAGAGACAGGGTCTTGCTCTGTCACCCAGGCTGGAGTGCAATGGTGTGATCATGGCTCCCTGCAACCTTGAGCTCCTGGGCTCAAGCAATCCTCCTACCTTGGTCTTCCAAAGTGCTGGGATTATAGGCATGAGCCACAATGCCCAGCTCAAATATCTTTTTATTTTATTATTTATTTTATTTTATTTATTTATTTTTTTGAGACAGAGTCTCACTTTGTTGCCCAGGCTAGAGTGAGTGCCATGTCGTCAGCCTCGCTCACAGCAACCTCAATCTCCTGGGCTCAAGTAATCCTGCTGCCTCAGCCTCCCAAGTAGCTGGGACTACAGGCATGTGCCACCATGCCCGGCTAATTATATATATTAGTTGGCCAATTAATTTCTTTCTATTTATAGTAGAGACAGGGTCTTTCTCTTGTTCAGGCTGGTTTCGAACTCCTAACCTTGAGCAATCCGCCTGCCTCAGCCTCCCAGAGTGCTAGGATTATAGGCATGAGCCACCGCACCCGGCCCTCAAATATCTTTTTAAATGTGCTTATTTTTTTTTTTTTGAAAATTTGGAAGGTTGGGGTGATTTAAAAAAAAGTTGTGGTGACTGTGGAGAATTTGTAGAATATAAAAGTTTTTGTTTCCCGGGCTAGAGTGCTGTGGTGTTAGCCTAGCTCACAGCAACCTCAAACTCCTGGGCTCAAGCAGTCCTTCTACCTTAGCCTCCCGAGTAGCTGGGACTACATGCATGTGCCACCATGCCCGGTTAATTTTTTCTATATATATTTTTAGTTAGCCAATTAATTTCTTTCTATTTATAGTAGAGACGGGGTCTTGCTCTTGCTTAGGCTGGTTTTGAACTCCTGATCTTGAGCAATCCTCCCGCCTTGGCCTCCGAGAGTGCTAGGATTACAGGCGTGAGCCACCACGCTCAGCCCATAAAAGTTTTTTTAATGCTTACAATTGCCTTTTATTGCTAGATTTCTCTACTGGGCCTATTAGGAGAGCATAGAAAATTATAAAGAAACAAATTAATCATTATCCTACTACCCAGAGAAAACTACTATTAACATTTTAGCATATTTCTTTCCCGTCTTTTATCTGTGCTTTTATTATCATACTGTACATACAATTTTGTATACTGCAATACTGCTTATCATTATATTGCAAGCACTTTTCCTTGTCATTAAAATGTTTCGAAGACATAATGATTATATAAAATTACACCTATGTCTATACAATAATTTTAATGTCCACTTGGACATTTGAGTTGTTTATATTTTTCACTTTGATAAACATCTTTATTACAAATGTTTTTCACTTTTTAGTTTACTTCTTTAGAAAAGATTATAAGAAACAGTATTACTGGGTTAAAAACCTAAAAATTTTAAAAGATTTTGGTATATATTGCCAGGCTCAGTGGCTCCCGCCTGTAATCCTAGCACTCTGGGAGGCCGGGGTGGGAGGATTGCTCCAGGTCAGGAGTTCGAAACCAGCCTGAGCAAGAGCGAGACCCCGTCTCTACTATAAATAGAAAGAAATTAATTGGCCAACTGATATATATAGAAAAAATCTGCCGGGCATGGTGGCACATGTCTGTAGTCCCAGCTACTTGGGAGGCTGAGGCAGGAGGATCACTTGAGCCTAGGAGTTTGAGGGTGCTGTGAGCTAGGCTGACGCCACGGCACTCTAGCCTGGGCAACACAGTGAGACTCTGTCTCAAAAAAAAAAATCAGATATATACAGTTGGGAAGAGTTGGGTAAAAGAAATATAAAAAAGAAAGAAAAAAATCAGATATACATAGTTGTAATCATCCTTTATATACAATTTTACATTCTATTTCTTTGGCTTAACAAAATTATTTTTGCATGTTTATCACAAAGTATGTAAACCTTTTAATAGGTACATAATAATTTTTTTTTTGAGACAGAGTCTCACTTTGATGCCCAGGCTAGAGTGAGTGCCGTGGCATCAGCCTAGCTCACAGCAACCTCAAACTCCTGGGCTCAAGCAATCCTACTGCCTCAGCCTCTCGAATAGCTGGGACTACAGGCATGCGCCACCATGCCCGGCTAATTTTTTCTGTATATATTAGTTGGCCAATTGATTTCTTTCTATTTATAGTAGAGACGGGGTCTCTCTCTTGCTCAGAGCTGGTTTCGAACTCCTGACCTTGAGCAATCCAGCCGCCTTGGCCTCCCAGAGTGCTAGGATTACAGGCGTGAGCCACTGTGCCCGGCCCATAATAATCTTTGATTGGATGCAATTATAGTCTTCTTAAACTTTTGTCTATTGTTAGAAGTTAGTCTTTTCCAATTTTCACGATCATACATAATACAATTTTTGTGTATTAAAGCAAACCTTATAGTAGTTTTGATCTGAATTTGGAAAGCCTAGGTTTGAATTCCCTGTACACGTCTAATTAGTCCAATGAATTAGGCAAGTTACATCACTTCATTAAGCCTTTTTCTTTTTTTCTAAAAAAGCTTATGGTTTTGGAAATATTTTCTTCATAGGGTTGTGAGAATTCAATGAAATAATGAGTTGTGCCTGTTACAAAATCAAGTGCTCAATAAAATTAGGAATCAAAGGCATTATTTAAAAGTCACATAATCCTGAATTGGATTATTTAAATTAGGTACCAATAAGACACCCAAATCTTAATTCAGATTAAGATCAGTATAAAAGACCTTTCTTCCAGGAACCGCAATCATTCAGAGCTTGTCTTCAGCACTCAACTTTAGTTCTCCCTGATCACTGAAGCTGACATGGCTGAAATAATTTCCAATGAGATTTTAAGCGACTGTGACCCTGCTCCCAGTTCCTCCGAGGTAAGAAATTGTGAGAAAACGTGGGGGTGAGGGGAAGAAGGGGGTATAATGAGCTTCCTTTGATTTCTCGGTTTGCTAATAGGCATCTCGTTTTGTCCAGATCCCCTATCCCAACCATGCTTAACTTTTTGGTTGGGCTCATGTGATTCTGTCTTTTCAAACTGTAGCTTGGTCTGCCTACAGAAACTCCTCTTGCAGACTTAGCATCCTCATTCCTTCCTTTTAAGTGTGTAGGATCGCTACTAAAGGGTGGCAACTCTGCTTCCGAGGGCGAGGTCTCATTGATATCTCCAGGTGCAGAGGTGTGGTGAGAACCTGCCAAGAGAAATTCCCGGATCTGAAGGAGGGCTTGGGCTGGGAAAGCACTGAAGATGAAGGGTGGCACCCACACCCCCAATCTATGCATCTTTTGGTCAACAAACATCCAATGGGACACTTATTATGTGCTAGGCATATTGCCATGAGGTGGAGATGCAAATATAAACAGGATCCAGCCCCTCATCTGCAGGCGCTCACAAAGCTAGTTAGGAAAACAGCACAAAGCACAGGGTCGAGGTAGGCCCACTTGTTACAAGAAAGGAGGGGAGGCCAGAGGAAGGCTTCGCAGGAGGTGATGCTGAGGATTGCAGTGGTCTCTGTAGAGGCACAGACTAGGTGCCGGTATACCCACTGTAACAAGGAGTGCGGAAGTAAGCATTTGCGAGGTAGCCAAATCCTGGGGCGTCTAAGGCCACCACAAGGGGTCTTGAGACTTTACCTGGCCAGCAAAGGGAAGCCAGTCCAGTAGTGGTGCAGATTGGATGGATGACACTGGAAACTGAGTGACCCCATTCGGGGTCTGTAGCAAACAGTTCAGGCAAGAGTGTAAACGGGCTGAAACTGGGTAGGTAGGAACAGAGGTCCTGTAAAGAGGGCCTGTGCAGGAGGACAGGACAGGACAGACAGGACTCCTGCTTGGTAGCTCTGAAGGGAGGATTCCTCCCTGTTTTCTGCTTTGGGAGAGCTGGTGAATGATAGTGCCAAAAAACTCGATTATGAAAAGTAAACTCCCTCCTGGAATGCTCCATTTTCGGCAACATCGCATCTACCGGTGCTTTCCTGGTCAGGAGACCAGTTTCCAAAAACCACCTCCGCTTTCGTGCCTTCGAACTGCTCATTAGTTGGCCGGCCAGCAGTAGTATCAAGATGGCGGCCCCCTAAGGCCTGGCCAGTCACGTGACCTCGGGTTTCCCTAGTTTGAAACCCAGCTGTCTGTTCGGGAGCAAGGTTCATCTGTCACGAAAAGGGTGTCAGCCTTCGAAACTCGCGAGCCAATTGGCATCTGCGACTGGGCTACTGCGTGAGGCGAACGGAAGATTGGTTCTTCCAGTCGTAGCCAGGGGCCAATCACAGAGCATCTTATGCTTCGCGGGCCCGCCCATAGGCAGGGTGAAGCGGGAATGTCGTCACAGCGTGGCGGTATTGTTACCTAAGGACTCGAGAGGAGGTGGGACGTATGTTGATTGACAGACAGATTTCCCCTACCGGGATTTGAGAATTTGGCGCAGTATCCCCGCCTTGGAGGTGGGGTCTTATTTGATTGCCAAGTAATATTCCCCAATGGAGTCCTAGCTCGTGGTGACGGGCAGGCTGCTTGACTAATGAATCCTCGGCGTGGCCGGCGCAGTTCTCCAATCGCCGGGCGGCGGGCCCCAGTCTGAGCGGCGATGGCGGCGGCGGCGGCGGCGGCAGCAGCAGCGGGGGCTGCGGGCGGTCGGGGCTCCGGGCCGGGGCGGCGGCGCCATCTTGTGCCCGGGGCCGGTGGGGAGGCCGGGGAGGGGGCCCCGGGGGGCGCAGGGGACTACGGGAACGGCCTGGAGTCTGAGGAACTGGAGCCTGGGGAGCTGCTGCTGGAGCCCGAGCCGGAGCCCGAGCCCGAAGAGGAGCCGCCCCGGCCCCGCGCCCCCCCGGGAGCTCCGGGCCCTGGGCCTGGCTCGGGAGCCCCGGGCAGCCAGGAGGAGGAGGAGGAGCCGGGACTGGTCGAGGGTGACCCGGGGGACGGCGCCATTGAGGACCCGGTGAGGGAAGGAGGGCGAGCGAGAAGGCCGCCGGTCGGCGGGCCGGGTCACGGGAGGCCTGGAGCTCGAGCAAGCTGGAGGCAGGCGGGGGGGTGGGGTTGGGCGGGGAATAACGTGGCTGGGGCCGGGCCGTAGACGGGTCCGCGATAACTACAAGGGCCCCGGCCGGGTTGATTCAGGCGTCATGGGTGCCTAGTGTTCTAGAGAGGGTGGCTTGCTTTTCTTCACGACCCTCTTGTGGATCGAGGGAAATGGCCGAGCATGTCTGGGGCCGCGTGTCGACCGAGAGCAGGGCGCAGCCCCTGCATTGGTTCCTCTTAAGCTCTTCTCCATACCCTCTCCACTTATTGTAGGAGCTGGAAGCTATCAAAGCTCGGGTCAGGGAGATGGAGGAAGAAGCTGAGAAGCTAAAAGAGCTACAGAACGAGGTAGAGAAGCAGATGAATATGAGTCCACCTCCAGGCAATGGTGAGTAACTGGCGGTTGCACGCGGAGTCCGGGTTCTCGGGTTGTAGGGACACGGAGGATGAGGGAATAGATGCTCAGCAACCTGGAGTTGCTTGTCTGAGCAGTTACCGGGCAGGTGCCCCTGTCATAGTCCATTGTGTGTTACCCTGACCTTTGTGAGACAGAACCTTTGTTTTGGTGGTGGTAGTCCTGTGCCTGCCTTTGTCCCTGTTGTATGTGTGTTGCTCTTTGTTCTTAGTCTACCTCTGTCCTTCTTTGTGGAGGTTGCCAGCTTGCATGTGACCTTCAAATCTAATAGTTTTTCCTTCAGTTGAAGACCTTTTAGTTAGGATTCCTAAGAGAAAGAATGCTGCAAGGAGCTTTCCCTTTAATCCAGAAATGTCGAGTCTCAGTCCACTTAATTTGTTCACTTTTCAGGGCATTTCAACCGAAGCTATTCAATAGGGACTTGATTTGGGGGCTGGGGGATTCCTACACACTTCTCTACGATTTTTAAGGATGTATTGATTCTTTAATTTGTCTTATTAGTATTAGACACCTATGTACCTGGTACTATTTTAGGGAATTGATAAAACAAGGAACAGAACAGACCAAAATCTTTGTCTTTAGTGAGCTTATAGTATAGGGCTAGTGACAGAAGTGCATATATTGGTTAAGTAAAACAACTGTTTTTTCTTTTTTTTTTTTTTTCCTTTTTTCCATTTAGCTGGCCCAGTGATTATGTCCATTGAAGAGAAAATGGAGGCTGATGCCCGTTCCATCTATGTTGGCAATGTATGTGCTAGGGTTTTGGTAGGAGTTGGGGGCAAATTCTTCTTTTGGGGAATTATTAATTGTCTTGAAAGGAGTATCTCCAGGATAGGTGGTGTTTTTAGGTGTGGAGGGAGTGTTGGGAAGAGGTAAAAGGTACTGGAGTGATTAATAAAGGCTCTGGGGTTAGAGGGATCTGGGGTAGGGATCATTTCCTTCAAGAACCAGATTTGATTTGCCTTGGTGTGTATAGATGGCCCAGACCAAAGGCTAGGAACCTGTTGAGACAGGAGTTTACTCAATACCTATGAAATGTCTCCTCTCTTGTCAGGTGGACTATGGTGCAACAGCAGAAGAGCTGGAAGCTCACTTTCATGGCTGTGGTTCAGTCAACCGTGTTACCATACTGTGTGACAAATTTAGTGGCCATCCCAAAGGGTAAGTAGGGAAGTAAGTTGAGATCATTTAAATCACGGCTTAAAAATAGATAAATATATTAAGCAGTAAGTTGCAGTTAAAACAAGTGGTCCTTGTCTTCTATGATAATTACATTAATGTTGATATGTATTAGGAATTGCACATAAATGCCTTCAGAGGCCAGACAGGTGACAAAAATGAAGACTAGGTGTGGGTGGGATCATGAATGAGAAGGGGAGGGGCTGCTTCTGCTTGGTCCCAGCTGGTTAAGGCCATATAGAAATGCAGGGCTTGTGCGTCCTATTTTTTTTTTTTTTTTCTTCTTTTGGAGACAGAGTCTTGGTCTGTTGCCCAGCGAGCTAGAATGCCATGGCTGTCAGCCTTACTCACAGCAACCTCAAACTCCTGGGCTTAAGCAATCCTCTGCCTTAGCCTCCCCAGTAGCTGGGATTACAGGCATGCACCACCATGCCATTGTCTGCTCTAAAATACCCGTGATTAAATGAGAAAGGCTCCAGGGTTCTTTATTGGCACTGTCCAATAGGAATATAACATAAGCCACATACGTAGTTTTACCTTTTCTAGTAACTTCATTAAAAAGACAAAAAGAAAGAGATAAAACTAGTTTTTATATTTTATTTAGCCCAGTATATTAAAAATTATGATTTCAACACGTTATTAATATTAAACAATTATTAATGAGTTATGTCAAATTCTTTTTTTATACTAAATCTTCAAAATTTGGTGTGTATTATATACTTTCAGCACATCTCAAAATGGACTACTCATGTTTCAAGTGTTCAATAGCCACGTGTGACTAGTGCCTATCATATTAAACAGTATAGTTCTAGATCATAGAGAATTATTGTAGCCTGTAAAAATTCACAGCAGGAGTTGGCTAGGTGTGGTAGCTCACACCTGTAATCCTAGCACTCTGGGAGGCCGAAGCGGGAGGATCACTTGAGGTCAGGAGTTTGAGACCAGCTCTGAACAAGAGCAAGACTGTCTCTACAAAAAAGGAAAACAGCCGTGGTGTCTGCCTGCCTGCAGTCCCAGCTTCCTCTGAGGCTGACACAGGATTGCTTGAGCCCAGGAGTTTGAGGTTGCAGTGAGCTAAGATAACACCACTGCCCTCTAGCCAGGGTGACAGATGAAGATAATGTCTTAAAAAAAAAAAAAGAAGTTAAAAATGAGGATGAAACTACCAAGAAGCCAAATATTTATATTGTTTAGTGAGAAAACTTTTTTCTTCTAGGCAGAACCAGAGATGCCCTCACCCATTTTTACTGCTTACTTCTCCATTTCTCAACTCCACTGACCATTCCCTTCTATTAACATATTTTTCCCTCTTCTGGGGCACAACATCATTGGAGTTTTGGTTTTTCCAAAACTCCATAGTCCTCTATTTATAAGTTATTGCTTAAAGAGAATCAGACCCAAAATGAGTGAATCTCACACCAGTATATACTAATTAAAAAAAATTCATTCTTAGAGGAAAATTTATCTCTTTGTTATTCTCTATGCACCAACAGGCAAGATATTAATATTTAAAAAGATCGTTCAGTCAGCACTTATTAAACACAGAGAGATAGTCAAAGGAAATACAAATATAATTAAGATGGTGTCCTTACCTTTTTCAGTTTATAGTCCAATAGAGAAGGATCTTAATTTACAGGTCATCATTCAAATATATATGTATATCTTTTAAGAGACAGGGTCTTGCTCTGTCACCCAGGCTGGAGTGCAATGGTGTGATCATGGCTCCCTGCAACCTTGAGCTCCTGGGCTCAAGCAATCCTCCTACCTTGGTCTTCCAAAGTGCTGGGATTATAGGCATGAGCCACAATGCCCAGCTCAAATATCTTTTTATTTTATTATTTATTTTATTTTATTTATTTATTGTGTTACCGATACTGTTGCACATTAGCTGGCCTCCCCAGGGTAAGTGGAAGCTAAGTTGAGATCATTTAAATCACGGCTTAATAAATAGATAAATATATTAGCAGTAAGTTGCAGTTAACAAGTGGTCCTTGTCTTCTATGATAAATTCATAATTACATTAATGTTGATATGTATTCGGATTTGCACATAAATGCTTCAGAGGCAGACAGGTGACAAATGAAGACTAGTGTGGGTGGATCATGAATGAGAAGGGGAGCGGCTGCTTCTGCTTGTCCAGCTGGTTAAGGCCATATAGAAATGCAGGGCTTGTGCGTCTAATTTTTTTTTTTTTTTTTCTTTTGGAGACAGAGTCTTGTCTGTTGCCCGCGAGCTAGAATGCCATGGCTGTCAGCCTTACTCACAGCACACTCAAACTCCTGGGCTTAAGCAATCCTCTGCTTAGCCTCCCCGTAGCTGGTTACAGGCATCGCACCCCATGCTGGCTAATTTTTTATATATATTTAGTTGTCCAGCTAATTTCTTTCTTTCTTTCTTTTTTTTGAGACAGAGTCTCTGTTGCCCGGGCTAGAGTGCCACGGTGTCAGCCCAGCTCTCAGCAACCTCAAACTCCTGGGCTCAACCAGTCCTTCTGCCTCAGCCTCCGAGTGGCTGGGACTACAGGCATGCGCCACCATGCTATATATTTTTAGTTGGCCAATTAATTTCTTTCTTTCTTTTTTTTTTTTTTTTTTTTTTTGAGACAGAGACTCGCTTTGTTGCCCAGGCTAGAGTGAGTGCCGTGGCGTCAGCCTAGCTTATAGCAACCTCAATCTCCTGGGCTCAAGCAATCCTGCTGCCTCAGCCTCCTGAATAGCTGGTACTACAGGCATGCGCCACCATGCCCGGCTTATTTTTTCTATATATATATTAGTTGGCCAATTAATTTCTTTCTATTTATAGTAGAGACAGGGTCTCGCTCTTGCTCAGACTGGTTTTGAACTCCTGACCTCGAGCAATCTGCCCGCCTCGGCCTCCCAGAGTGCTTTATTACAGGTGTGAGCCACCTCGCCTGGCCTCAATTTCTTTCTATTTTTAGTAGAGACAGGTCTCACTCTTGCTCAGGCTGGTCTCAAACTCCTGACCTTGAGTGATCCTCCCACCTCGGTCTCTCAGAGTGCTAGGATTACAGCTGTGAGCCACTGCGTGTGGCCCTATTTTTTTTTTAATGTTTTTCCTGTATCACAAGATAAGTGTCCCATTTTTTAAAATCCAAAGAGTAGCTAAATTCATTAAAATATTTAC